ATTTTTAACAGAGATGTATATAACAATCTTAACAACAACAACAAAAAACAATTAAGACTTCCTAATAAAAAAAATAATTATGAAACAATATGCTGGGTTTTGTGACTTAGAAATGAGTAGCTCACTGAGTAGAATATAATTTAGTAGGGTAAGGAGATACTTCATTGACTTTAGCAAGTTTATTTTCATAGCAATATATAACTTGGATCTTGGGCCGCAATCCCTTCTCCTCCATTCTCCTCTCAGGATCTTGGGCATGCACGCACACACACCCGGCGTGAATTTCAAGCTGCTGGGTTGGGGACTTGAATCGCGGTTGACTATGTGGGAGTCCAGTGATGTAACCATTCTGCCATCTGCTGGTCCCAGATCTTGGCTTCTAACTACCATTCTCTACTAAAAGTAAATCATGCTCCCTGGAGAAGTGACTGATTTCAGGACTGGAAAAGTAAAAGATGAATCTAAGAGGCCAGCAGGTGGCATGTTGCTTAAGGCGCTGGACAACGATATGGACGAACACAGGTTGAGTCCCAGAGCCAGCAGCTTGAAAATCACCCCCGGGCATGTGTGCATGCATACCCAAAATTCTGAGAGGAGAATAGAGAAGGGATTGAAACATGGCTATCTCCCCTGGGGGTGATTTCTCACTTTTCTCTTCTGAGCGCGCCCCCTCGATTGTTCACTAAAAAAAAAAAAAAAAAAAAAAAAGATTTTTTGGTCTACTTTCCTAGAAACTTCCTAGGCTTACTAAACGCTATGCACTATTACTGTGACCAAGAGGGCTAAACATCTCTATCTACTTTTCTTGTTATTGTCCAACCCCTCGTTGCTGAAATTTAACCTCACAGTGAAAAGGTTCTGAAGGGGACCAGTAAGTGGCATGATGGTTAAGGCATAGGTCAACCATGGTTGGAGTCCCAAACCTGTTAGCTTGCTTTCTCTCTTTCTCTCTCTCTCTCTTGCATGTGCCCTATAGCAAATTAAAAAATAATAATAGGGGCCAGCAGGTGGTATGGCGGTTAAGGCGCTGGATTGCCACATGACCTACCACAGCTCGAATCCCAGATCCGGCAGCTTGCTTTCTCACTTTCCATCTCTCTTGCTCTCTCTCTCTCTCTCTGGTCAAATTAAAAAATAATAATAATGATGATGATGAATAAAATTAAATAATTCTTAAAATAATAATAGTAACAAATAAAATGAAATAAGTATTTTTTAAAAAAAAGGTTCGAGGACCAGCAGATGGCATAATGGTTAAGAGGACTCCTACATAGTTGACCATGGTTAAGAGTCCAGGACATGGAACCAGCAGGTGGCGTGGTGGTTAAGTTGCTGGACACTTCCACGTGGCTACACGGTTCAAGTCCCGGACCTGGCAGCTTGCTTTCTCACTTTTCTCTCTCTCTCTCTCTCACTGTGTCTTTCTCTCTGGTCAAGTTAAAATAATTGAATAACTTAAATTAAATTAAAATTTAATTCTTGAAAGAAAAAAAAAAGTCCAGGACCCAGTGGATTCAAACACACCAGCGTATGTGCGTGTGTGCCCAAAATCCCAAGAAGAGAATAGAGAAAGGACTGTGGCGTGGCCATCCCCCCTAGGGGGGTTGATTTCTTGCTTTCTGTCCCCCTGCCTCTCCAGTGAGTTCACGTGCCCTGTAGCAAAATATTTCTAAAAAAAAAAAAAAAAAAAAAAAACCTAAAACTAAAAAAAAAAAAAATTTAAGTTTCAGAATATGGAAAAAAAATCTTTACTTCCTGAATCATAAGAAAAAACCTGAGACAGTCACTTACTTAGAAAATGATAAAGTTCATAAAATTAAAAAGACCAAAAGCCTATTAACACCAGGCTGATTTGAACCCCCTCCTCCTTCCATCATTCTTATTTATTTCTTCTGAGAGAGAGTGCAAGAATAAGAGCGAGACAGCACCCCAGCAGGGTCTTGACAGCATGACCCGCCCCCAGCTTCGGCCAGCCCCAGGCCATGGTACACGTGTGCCCTGAGTACTCAGGGCTCCTGCGTGCCAGCTGAAACTGCCCACGCGTGTCAGCCTTGCGGCCTCGCGCTTTGCCCCCGCACCGCTATCCACCCCCTCTCCTCTTCTTCCTGGGGAGCATCTTCACTTTCTTCCTCGCCAGCACTTCTGCCCTCTACAGTTCCCTCCTTTTTGCCTTTAAACTAAAACAGATTTCCCTCATGCTAACAGACCTTTAGTTAAGTGGGATGTCCTCCCTTTTAGATAGTCTCACCTTCAAATTACCTAACTTCTCACATAGTCTCACATAGTCTCAAATAGTAGAAATTTGGGTTCTACAGAAACTGTTCTATCTCCATTTTAACAAAAACCATGCTATTTTCTTAGTCACTAACCTTAACTGTCATTCTATGTACTCTAGTGATTATTATCACCACCTTCTAAATGTTCCTTTCCTTGACTCCCACCACTAAAACTTCTTTTTCTTTGGCTTCCTCAACTAAACTCTTGTAAATCTTTTAACTCTCAACCACGCCTTCTGTTCTCTGCAATTCCCTCAACAAGCCTCTTTCCAACCCCTAATTGTAAGCATTCCCCGGGGTTCAGTCCCTGCAATCATATTCTTCCATTTACACATTCTTTAAGAAGGCTCAACCATTTCCAGAGCTCCAACTATACCCTTTCAAACTGAAGGACTCTAAAATTTAGACTCAGTTCAAGATTTATTTCCAAATTTACATCCTCTTACTGGAAACTGCTTAAAATGCCTAGCTGTAGTTTTAAATTCAACACAACCTAAGAATTATATATTTTTGGAGGTAGTTTAACAATTATACTTTGACTTTTCCTTACCTGGTTAAATTTTGCCATTCCTGCAGCTAAATCGTCATTTTCTTAGGAAAACTCTTATTTTCTTTTTAAAGAGGATTTTGCCTTTGGGCACTCAGGAGATAAGAGAGAGACAGACACAGTGAAAGAAAAGTGAGAAAGAACCAGCTGGGAGGATGGCCATGCCACAATCTTTTTTCCTCCATTCTCCTCCCAGTATCTTGGACACACATACACACACACCCAGCATGATATGGAAGCCACCAGGTCCGGGACTCAAACTGTGGTCAGCCATGTGGGAATCAAGTGACATAACCCCTACACCACCCACTGATCCTGGAAAACATTTCTTGAGTTCCCAATTAGCCAAATGTTCATGTGCCTCTCTTTCATAGCAATGATTACAGCTATAATTTTCCATTTATTTTGTGACTTTTTTTCCCTTTTATTCAAAATAAGAATGTGTATCTGTGCATGTGAGAGAGAAACACGAGCACCTCCAGGGTCTGGTCATGCTGCAATTCCATTCCTCCAGCCCTCCAGCCAGTTGGCTGTTGGGCACTGGTGCGTGTGTCCACTGTATTTCAGGCTGACCAGGCCAGAGAGCTGAACCACAGTCGCAGTGTGGGATCTGGCTTCTCCTGAGCAGCACTTTACCTCCACACCTCCAGGCCTGCCCTTTTTCTGTGACTCTTTAATGGCTACCTCCCCTACTGGATGGTATGTTCAGTGAGGGGAGGGACCACATCATTTAGGACAGGGATATGATAAGCACCACATTCCCAGCACTACCCTCAAGTTTCCGGCATACAGTAAATAATGCTTATCCCAAATCTGTCAAACAAATGAACAAACACTCTAAACTTTTCCAAGGAAACAGGTTTCCATCAATTCTATTTCCATACCTACTCATACTAGTCCACTGAAGCCTCAGCCCTTACTTTGCAGTTCATTACAATGGCAGCTTACTCAGCTCCTTAAAGAGTTTTCTCACTTAAATCCATACTGCCACAGGAATAATTAATTTCCTTTACTTTTTTTTTGAGAGGTTTTTGCTATAGGGTGCGTGTGCTTGCCAAGAAGACAGAGACAGAGAGACAGAAAGCAAGAAATCACCCCCCAGGGGGATGGCCATGCCACAATCCCTTCTCCTCCATTCTCCTCTCAGGATCTTGGGCACGCACGCACACGTGCCTGGCATGAGTGTAAGCCACCAGGTCCGGGACTCGAACCGCAGTCAGCTACATAGGAGTCCAGTGACATAGCCATTATGCCAACTGCTGGTCCTGCCTTTACTAATTTTTAAAGTTTATTTTGTTTTTGGGACCAGCAGTTAGCGTAATGGCTATGTCGCTGGACTCCCATGTAGTCGACTGTGGTTCGCATCCCGGACACGGTGGCTTAAAACTCACACCAGGCGTGTGTGCGTGCGTGCCCAAGATCCCGAGAGGAGAACGGAGGAGAAGGGATTGTGGCGTGGCCATTCCCCCGAGGGGTGATTTCTCGCTTTCTGTCTCTGTCTCTGTCTGGCGAGCGCACACACCCTACAGCAAAAACCTCTCCAAAACAAATAAAAAGTTTATTTTGTTTTATTCTTTCATGGAGGGAGTGAGGGGGACCTTGGACAGGGTCTCATGTCATGATCCTTCAGCCAGGAGGCATCCAGTTCGACCCAGAATCCAAATCCAGGCCTCCCACATAGCTCCATATGACACAGCAGCACCCTATCACCTGTAACTCTTGAGGATGGATCAAATTTCCTATTTTATGGTGATAGTCACCCCATCTTTAAAGACCACCTATTTCCCTTAAAAATAAATCTAAGCTAATACAGACATTTCACTAAATGGCTTGATTTGCCAAGAACAAATGTCAGCTGCTCACAGGAACACAGCCCACTGACCATGACTTTAAAAAACACCAGCTGCGGGACCAGCAGTTAGTATAATGGCTATGTCGCTGGACTCCCACGTAGTCGACCGCGGTTTGTGTCCCGGACCCGGTGGCTTAAAACTCACGCCGGGCGCGTGTGCGTGCGTGCCCAAGATCCCGAGAGGAGAATGGAGGAGAAGGGATTGTGGTGTGGCCTTCCCCCCTGGGGGGTGATTTCTCGCTTTCTGTCTCTCTGTCTCTCTCTGTCTGGCTGGCGAGGGCACGCGCCCTATAGCAAAATAGACCTCTTCAAAAACACCAGCTGATTCTTCTCGTAGGTTCTCCTTTATTAAGTTCTTTCAAGATCAATAGTAATAGTATCTTGAAAATGTTACCATTAATATTTGCATCACAAACACCTAACTAATTAAGTTTTGCTAGCAATACACTCATAAACCATCTTTAATGTGTGTTTCTTACATGGTCCGATCAATATTATTTATAACATTCTTATCAATTACAGTTTCAGATAGTATCATTTCATAAGCCTGCCTGCCTGTATGTATGTATTTATTTTTACCAGTTTCCAAACTGGTACATATGCTCTCAAAATTAATGATGTATCCTATTGTTGTCAAGTCAGTGTAATGACAAGCTGTATCCAGGGACCGAGCCATGGAGCATTGCTGAAGGGGCCGCTGTTTTGTCACCTCTTACTCATAAACCCAGTCATGAGCACAAGACTTGTAGTCAACCAATTCCTCAGGCTTAAACCACAAGCTGATTTCTTTTTCAGCACTGTTGACCGAATCACTGCCGTGAACGATGTTCCTGCCCACTTGAATGCTGAAGTCTCCACGAATGGTGCCTGGCTTCGAATCTGCAGGATTGGTTTCCCCAAGCATTACTCGGCTTGTCTTCACCACATTCAGCCCCTCCCAGACCATGGCCACCACCGGCCCCGAGTTCATGTACTTCACCAGCCCTGGGAAGAACGGGCGGTCCTTCAGGTCATTGTAGTGCTGCTTCAGGTGTTCCTCAGAGGCCCGAAGGAACTTCATGGCCACAAGGCGGAATCCCTTCTGCTCAAAGCGTTTGATGATCTCGCCCACCAGACCACGCTGCACACCGTCCGGCTTGATGGCGATGAAGGTGCGCTCGAGGTTGGAGATGGTTGCAGAAGCTGGTGGGACCCGGAGGCTGCTGTGCTGCGGGAGCAGAGCCTGTCCTTAAATTCTAATGATTACAGATTCAGGTTCTTTTCTTTTTCTTTTTTAAAATTTTTATTATTATTATTATTATTTTAGTTTAGCTACAGGGCATGTACACTTGCCAGAGACAGAGAGAAAGTGAGAAATCACCCCCAAGGGGGATGGCCACAACTCAATCCCTTCTCCCCCATTCTGCTTGAGAATTTTGGACATGCCCAAACACACCCCTGGTGTGATTTTTCAAGCTGTGATTATCATGATTATAAAACCACAGAAGAGGATAAGTGGGATCCAGCATCTTAACCCCCACACCATCTCCTGGCCTCCAGATTAATAATTTCTAAGATTCTGACAAAACAAACTTAACTATCTAAACAGAAGAACATTGGTTCAACATCAAAAAAAATTATGAATGTAATATATTCCATTAAAAACTGCTAGTTTGGGGCCAGCAGGTGGCATGGTGGTTAAGGGCGCTGGACTCCCACATGACTGACCATGGTTTGAGTCCCAGACCTGACAGCTTCCTTTTTCACTTTCTTTCTCTTTCTCTCTCTTTCTCTCTCTCTCTCTCTCTCCTTTGCTCTCTCTGTCCCTCACTGGTCAAAATTAAGATAAAAAAAAGTTAAATAAAATAATAACTAAAAGAAATAATGCTTAAAAAAAAAAAAAAAAGAACTTCCCGACTGAAAAGCTGCATCATTTAAGTTAAAATATCTCTAGATGAGACAAAGGGTGGCCAACTCTGCTGTTTGAGTCTGGGACCCAGCCACCTGAAAATTGCGAGAGGCATGTCTGCATGCACAAAATCCCAAGAGAAGAATGGATGACAGCATTGTCATCAGCCCCTAGGGGGTGCTTCCTCGCTCCCTCTCTGTCTATGTCCATCTCTACTGCTAGTACACACACGCCCTGGATCCCAAGAGGATCATCAAGGATAAGGTACTGTGGTGTGACCATTCCCCTTGGGGGTGATTTCTCAAAATGTCTCACTTTCTTTTCATCCTTCCAACCTGTTTTAACAATGGTACTGAGCAAATATCTGGATAAACATTTAAAGCAAATACATATGTCAGAGTGCTGAACCTAAGTCAGCCCACAGAAGTACACCGCAGTAAGAGCTCTAAATTTTAAATTTTTACATTAACATAAGGGGCATATAAAGTCTAATCCAAAAGAGTAAATCAAACCCAAGATTGCACACAACTTACCAAGTTAGCTAATAATGCATTAATGGTTCCTTTACAAGACCTAAAAGCAATTTTAAAGACTTGTTCATAAACTGATTCAAATTCTGACATCAGATAGGGGGCCAGCAGATGGTGAGTTGGTTAAGGCTCTGGATTCCCATACAGCCCAGCTGAACTATATGGGCATGCATGTACATGAGCCCCGTATGAGTTTTAAGCCACTGGATCTGGGACTCGAGCTGCAGTCGACTATGTGGGAGTCCAGAGATGTAACTATTACAAGTCCTGGACCCGGTGGCTTGAAAATCACAATGAATAAAGACATAAATAAATAAATAAATAAATGTCTTTAAAAAAAATGACGTAAGATAATCTGCCAGTGCCCAGAGGACATCCTGGGCACTGTGTGCTTTGTGTCCCACAGAAAGCTCTAGGGTTTACGAAATACTTTCAGATGTTATATTTCGCATAATCTTTTTTTTTTAGAATTATTTTATTCAATGATTATTATTTTTTTCTTTTAATTTGACCAGAGAAAGAGAGAGAGAGAGAAAGTGAAAAAAGCAAGCTGCCAGGTCTGGGAATTGAACCATGGTCAGCCACGTGGAAGTCCAACGTCTTTAACCACCATGCTACCTGACTGCCCCATATCTCACTTAATCTTATCCCCTACAACTGCTCATTTTTACAGAGAAGGACACTAAAGCTTAGGAAATTGAAGTTCATGAATCTATCAGATTCTAAAGTAAAAACAAACTGGATTTGATGCTCATCTTCAGTTACTTTCTTTTACTTCACCCACAGATAAAGCATTACTTGCAGAAAGGGCGTTCCCAGCCTGAACAGCACTAACTTTCTAGTAAGTCGACTGCAGGACATTCAGAGTCAGATACCAAGTCCGTGTTGGGCCAGCAGATGGCTGGGAGATTGAGGCACTAGATCCCACACGACCGGTTTCCCGGTCCAAGTCCTGGACTCAGTAACCTGAGAATCACTGGGCATGTGTGCAGGCATGCCCTAAATCCTGATGGGAGAGTGCAGCAGAGAGCACAGTGTGGCCATCCCCTCTGAGGAGTTATTTCTCACTTTCCTCCTTCCCTGTCTCTCTGGCAAGCACATGCTCCCTACAGCAAAAACTGAAGGGAAAAAAAAAAAAGTCCATTTTAAAGAGTAGCTTCAGTAATTGTTTGCTCAGCAATTATTCAACTCAATTTTCTGGGAGAAAATAACAAAACGCAAATACAAATAAACAATAAATAAGACAGGACATCTTTAAGTATTTGCGAAATTACTAAATATTCTCACAAAATATACACACAACTCTGTCCAGAATAACCTGCTTCTGGGCTGACAACAAAAACCTACCGTGGATGAATTTCATGCTCTCTTTTTCCCTCTGCTAAATGTGATCAATTCTACAGTATTGCAAGGAAAGAAATTAAACAGTTTTGAGGGGAAATACTCTCTTGATTCTTTCCTGCCTAAAAGCAGAAGACTTAAGCCCTAGGAAATGAATGGAGCCACAAGATGGGAGGAACCGCTATCTCCAGATCACCAGATGGCTCATAGTCTCCCACAACTTCTCTCATGTTAAACCGCTGATATTTTTGGGTTTGGTGTAGCAGTCAGTTTTGGCCTATACAATACATTAACCGAAAAGAACTCTTTTACACATTGGTAAAAGGCATATACATTGGTAAAAAGACATCATGAAATTTTGTTATGTAAATAACTCTTACTTTTTAAAAAAGATTTTATTATTATTATTTTTCTTTTCATTTGACCAGAGAGAGACAGAGAAAGAGAGAGAGGGAAAGTGAGAAAGCAAGTCGCCAGGTCCAGGACTCAAACTACAGTCGGCCATGTGGGTTTTCAACACCTTAACCACCATGTCACCTGCTGGCTCCGTAACTCTTACTCTTAAAAATAGTTTTGTCGGAACCAGCAGTTGGCATAATGGCTATGTCACTAGACTCCCATGTAGTCAACTACGGTTCGAGTCCCGGCCCTGGCGGCTTAAATTCCTGCCGTGTGCATGTATGCCCAAGACCCTGAGAGGAGAATGAAGGAGAAGGGATTGCGGTGTGGCCATCCCCCCGGGAGTGATTTCTTGCTTTCTGTCTTTCTGTCTCTCTGACTTTCTGGTGAGTGCACACGCCCTATAGCAAAAACCTCTCCAAAAAAAGAAAAAAAGACCTTAATTCCAGAGGAGGCGCCCTGACCCATACCTGGGAAGAAGGAATACTACACAGAAAGGCAAGAAGAATTTGAATTTGAACAGACAGGCCTAGCTAGTCATCACACTCAGTTGTCAGCATTTGACCACACCTTTTTTATTATCCAATCACATGCATAACTTCATCTGTATCCTTTGAAATATCCTTTCCAGTAAACCAGTCACTGTAAATATTTCCCAGAGTTCTGTGAGCCACTAGCAAATTAATCAAACCCAAGGAGAGGCGGAGGTTGTGGGAGCTCCAGCTTGTAGCTAGTTGCTCAGAAGTTCCAGAGGTTCTTGCACCTGATGTCCGAAGTAGGGGACAGTCGTGGGTTGGGAGCCCTCAACCTGTGAGATCAGATGCTGTCTACGGGTAAAGAGTATCAGAACCGAACTGGACTCGGGGGACCAGCTATCCACTGCAGAACTGACTGCCTGCTTGCTCACCTGCTGGTGGGGAAACCCCACACATTTTGGGATCACGATATGCTGTGAGGATTGTTAATATGGCAGAGACTGAAAATGAGTTTGTTTCCTCTTCGTAGTCTCAAAAATATGAAGAGACATAATAGGGGATCAGATGGCAGAAATGGTGCAACAGCAGTAAAACATGACACCATGCAAAGCAATCCCACATAGGAAGGCTTCGGGTTCAAGTCCAGGGACCTCCTAGGGTAGCCAGGCACACAGGTGCCCACAGTTGCAGGCTGGCTGAGGGTGGGGGGTGGTCGTGGCATCAGGACCCTCTTGTCAGTGCTGTCTCTCTCTCATGGAAAAAATAAACTTTAGAGAACCCAATAATATGAAAATACATTATTTACATAAATGTGAGAAGTTGAACAAGCACTGGAGTAGGTTAGTATGGAAAGGCTGGTTTTGAATGTAAAAGATTGAGTTGGCATCTGTTTAATATATGTGACTTGCGCAAATCACTATCTGATTCATGTTTGTTTGTTTTAATCTAATACAAGGCTGATATGTGTCCTATCTACCACACGCACAGTTATCAAAACTACAAATAAGATCAAAAGGGTTCTATAAATTAAAGGTTGGATAATAACTGGACTCAGATTAATTAAATATATAGGGAGACGGCTGTTAGACCAATACTCGATTTTTTCAAATCAAGAAAATTTGGTGAGTTCCTCTGTGACACTTACATTTGGTTCCACATTTACTCTATTGTTAAGTTTTCAGAACACACCATAAACCAAAATTTCCAAGTCACCTTTTTCATGTCAAATAATCCTTAATTAACCCATACAGTAAGTGCTTAGGAAATATTTTACAAATGAATCACTAAAAGCTCGAGATAATCTACACCAGTTCTCTTTCTTTGGTCTTAAGGACACATAAATCAGGTAAGAAGATGCTCAAAAGGAATTTCAGGGGTCAGTGGGTGAGGCAGTGGTTAAGCAAGCTGGATCCCAAATAGCTAACGATAGCAGAGTCTCAGACCTAACAGCTTGAGAAACATGCCAGGTACATGTGCATGTATGCCTGAAATCCTGAGAAGGGGCAGTGGCGTGACTATCTGCCAAGAGTTCTTTTTTACCCCACCTGCTCTCTCTCACCCCCAGTCTCTCTCC